ACCCTAATTAAGTTAATAACAATGTACCTACCTATATAGTTTAAGTTTAAAAAATTTGGCTCTCAAAAGAAATTTCAATCGTTGTACTGTTGGTATTTGGCTCTATTGACTAATGAGTTTGCCGACCACTGACCCAGGGGATCGAGAGGGAGGGAGCGGCGTGCAGCCTCTGTGGCTGAGGATCCCAGGAAGCGGACAGGAAGGAGGAAGCCGCTGTGACAGGGTCTCCTTGGAGGGCAGTGCTTCGCGGGCCTATTGGGGGATTATGGCCCCGGGAAGACGTGACTGTCGCTGTGACATGTGTTCCCTGAGCCCACACGCTGTCACCCCACACTCCGCAGACTGGGGCCCCCCAGGGCTCTGCGTGGGGACCTCGTGGGGCCTCTGACGTTTCTTCCCAACCTGGGGGGAGGGGGGCTTTTCCCAGCTCCTAGCGAGGGAGCTTCAGAAGTCGATTCTGATGAATTTCGGTCGGAATTCTCAGATTCCTTTCAGCAGACGGCCCTCCATGTTTCCTGGGAAGAACGTGTGAGGCGATTTCTGCGCTGACCGCCCAGTGGCCATGCGGCGTCTCCGGCTGTTTCGGTTGGGACGCTGCCCTGAGTCGTTTGGATAGAAACAGGGATCGATCTGCCTGCGGCTGTGGGCCCCGGCCAGGCCCCCGGCCCCCGAGGCTGCCTCAAGCCCCAGTGAGGCCCCGCTACGGGATCCGGGAAAGAAAACGTTAGAGCTATAAGGAAACCTGAACCTCTCATCTAATCACTTTGAAGCCGGGCTTCGTGGAATGTTTTTGGGGGAGGATGGACCGAGCCTGGCGTCCAGAGCGCTTCCTCATGGCTCAGCTCTTGCCCAGCTGGACATGGAGGTGAGGAGGGCGGGCTTGGCTCCGGACACCGCAGTGAGGCAGGCCTCGCAGTAAATCAGGCCCTAATCCTTCTGCTGGTTGAGGGCCTTGCCTACAGTTTGCAAAAAACACAACATCTGTGAAGCGCAGCAAAGCCAAGGACAATAAAACGAGGCGTGTTTGTACTTACGTCGTGTGCTGTTGCTGGTCTTGAACTGGGAATGCAGTTCTCGTAGGAAAAAGCCAACTTATTTCAGAAGCGTGGGGAGGTCCGTGTGGAGGATAAAGTGTTCTTGCCTTTCCCACAGCCACATGTGTCTGCTAGGTCAGCCATGACTCCCTAAATCCTAAAGGCGGAGGAGGAAGAGGAGGATGCTCACACGGGAGACACTGTGCTTGACGCTCAGGTTTGTTTCCCTGTGTAACGTGTGGCTGGCTGGCCCTGGTTCCATCCTCGCCAAGGGATTCGCAGGTGGCCCGTCGCTCAGGGCCAGGACCCTCACGGGAATAACTGCTTGTGCGGCTGGAGGAAGCCTCGACCCCTTTGGCCTCGTGAGCAGGTCCCGCTTTCCAGGTCTCCTAGAAGCCTGAGCACAGTCCCTGGAGGAAATGCTCGCTCTGGCCCAAGTCCTGGAGCCCAAGGTCTGTCCAGCGGCTCCCACGAGTAGATCGATGGGGAGATAGCTCTTCCGAGAGCCAAACCGGTTGGCAGAGACTTTGCACCGGCCTCCTCGACCTCTCCACGTCGGTCTTCAGCACAGCTCAGCGTTTCCAGATGTTCCAAGTTTCATGGTTTAGAGACTCGGGGCCTAGGAGCCAGAACCCTTATTCCCACCCCCTCGGGACACCTCCCTCGGAACCTGAGCTCAGGCACAGGAAAACAATGTGATGACTCAGAAGGGGCATGTGATGGCCTGGGTCACCTGCCTCCCGCGATGGCCCTGGTCTTGTTTTCGAAGGTTCCGTGAGCACATGGATGGGTGAGTTTTGAACTCTCATGACTGGAAAAGCAAACCATATCTGTTTGTTTTTGTTCAATTTTCCAAGTTTTATATAGCGTTCCCATAAATAAAACATTGTGCTCTGAGACTCTGAGGCATGAGGACAAATATAGTTTAGCCACCAGCCGTTGGGTTGTTTCTTAGGAACCCTGAATTTTATGATAAAAAATGATTCGGGGGCTCCAAAATGTTACTCAATGGAAATTTCTCTTCTCATTTATGCACGAAGTGTTAATGACATTTATTATTTGTGTGTGAAAACTTTCTGTTCCTTACCTTAGTCAGTAAGGTATGGGCAAGCCTGCAAGTACTGATCACATATGGTCATAGCTTAGTGCCCTCCACCGGGCGGGGTGAGTCAGGGTCCATGTCCTGGTTCCGCTGAATGCTGACTGTGAGCTGGAGGGTGAATTCCTCTCATCAGTGATGCCTATGGATGGTGGCGTGTCTGTGCGAAATCTACACCAACTCATGGCATTTAGAGTATTTGTGGGTTCATGACCAACAGTGTTTGTAACGGGCCCAGTTCTTTCCTGCAATGTTTCATTCTCTACCAGAGCAGCCTCCGGGCAGACATTTCTGTGGGTTTTGATCGTTAGCACCAGGGACATTCTAGTGCCCCCCCCCCCCCCGTGTGTGGCCCACAGGCTCCTCTCCCGTGCCGGTGGCCCTTTCTCTTTCAGGCAGGTGCCAGCCCCACCCACCACCTGTCTCACCTGATGCTGTGGGTCCACGTTGTCTCAGGCACAGGCAACCCCTCACCTGCACCTACATGGAAACCAGGTGAGCGTGTCTAGCAGAGCTGGAGGGCAGTCTTTTGGTGAATGCCCGTTCCCTTTCATTCACAATTTGCAGCAAGTGTCCTTATCTGCATTTCTGAATCTAATAAAGAAAGAAAAGGTTTAAATAGTCTCTGAGCAGTGAAAACCAGGAAGGACTATAAATGGTTAAAAATAACTTTGAACATGTTTAGAAATATAATTGCTTTGGAGACACAATCTGGGGCTCTCAGCTGGCCCCGTAAGCCAGCACTTCGCACATGCACGCGGCTCAGCTCCTGCTCACGGCAGCCCGTGTTCCGAGGAGCCACGACGTCCACCGTGGAGCACCGGCTCCATGCAAGCCGTCCGTCAACACTGAGGGTGGAACACGGGTGTTATCAGACATGATCAGGCAAGAGATCCGCCTGCTGATTTCCCTTTTGCAGGAAGCCCTGAGGCCATCCCCCCGGAACTGGGAGCCAGACCGAGACAGCAGGCAGGGGTGTGCTGGGCCTGGTGCGCCCTCAGGGTGCTGGGTGTGCACGGCGTGGCTTCCGGAAGCAGGAAGTGGGAGCAGCTCGATGGGTCTGAGCCTTGGGAGCTTTAGTGCTGTTTTATGTAAGAACCAAATAAAGAACCAGGCAGACTCCAGAGACAATGAGGTCTTTAAAGACAGACTCATGGTTCATTGAGGGTCTTGTGTCGAGTGACGTGACGGTCACAGAGTGTGAATGCTGAGCGTGGGCCTGGACCGGCAACAAGGGAGCCTCTGCAACAGGCTCGTCCCAACGGTGCAGCCGGGACACTGGCAATGCCCATCACACAACCACAGGCACGTCCACGCGTGTGACATAGAAACCTAGGTTTCGGGTTTGATCCCCAGTTGGGTGTGTACGGGAGGCAACCGATCAGTGTTTCTCTCTCATTGACGTTTCTCTCGGTGTCTCTCTCTCTCCCCCTAAAAAAAAAAATCTCTCTAAAACAAAAATCAATAAAAACACATTCTCGGGGGAGGATTAAAGAAAAAAGAATCATCCAGTCCAAGACGCCGATCAGTGCGTGTGACGCGGCGATGGGCTCTCTGCCTTTGATCACAGTCTTTCATTTCCCCAAACAGCTCTCTGACGTCGGGGCCTTGATATGACTACAAAGCCTCAATAAGCCCGAAGAGCATTCGGTTTTCCGTGCACAAATATCCCTGCCTACACGTGCTCAGGCCCATCTAATAGAGCTTCCGTTGTTCCAAGAATAACGCTGCACTTGCTCCAAAGTCCAAACGCTGCACTTGAAAGGCTCTGAGCCCACATGGTCCCACGGAGGGGGAGGCTCGCTCACGACTCTGTTCGCTGGGGGCATTGCCAACATCATAGTCAGACGACAATATTCCCAAGAAGTTTTAAGAACCATATAATTAGAATCATGAACATTGGGTGGGGTGAGTCTCAGGAGCACCCAGCCCTGGACATGCTCGGCGACACTGTCCCCCCAGGTGGGCCCCCTCCTCACCGAGCCACTTCCTGTCCGGGCGTGTGAGAGACGCGTCTCCTGGACCCCCTCACGTCTCCCTCCTCTGAAACGAGCCCACATTCTCTTTTCCATCTGATGCAAAGTGTGAACAGCAGCAGCCGACTGCTGAGGACATGGACTTCCACACCAGGGCTAGAGGGGCTGCAGGCGGCGCACCTGTGAGGCCGGGGTCACCAGCGGCTCCTGAGAGTCCTGCTCACACGGCTCCGCTCAGGGCCCGGGGTCCCCAGGTGAGAGGAAGCGTCCGGCCTGGGGAGCTCCCAGCCTCAGGAAAGAGCCCGACAGGGGCAGGAGGCGAGTCCAGGTGAGTGAGGCGGGAGGAACACCTGTGAGCGAAGGGGTGCTGGGCATTCTCCGCTTTCTGCGGGAGGACGTCCTGACACCTGCGGCCACATGGGGGCTCCCAGTCGGGACACAAAAGGACACACACGGTGGTTCCACTGGTACAAGGTCGTCGAACCCACGGAGACAGAACGGGGAACGGAACTGCAGGTAGAACAGAAGCCGGCGGGAAGGAAGCGGTCAGGGTTTACACGGACAGCACGTCGTGTGAGGGGCTGCGTGAGCTCTGGGGCGGCCGCGGCCGTGTCTGCCCAACACGATGCACTTCACGCCAGTGAGCTGTGCGCCCCGCGGTTACACTGTAAACTGTATGTTACATTTACCGCGATAAAAAGGAGGCCTTTCTGACAAATGTGAGCAATCTAAAACACGTTTTTAACATCACACCAGACATGAAGTCGTAGTGTAATTGATGTCAGACATTTCTGCTTCCCCCCCGTACTTGCCTCCTATATTTTTCCCACTATATATATAGGAAAACAGCGAGCTTTAGAAAATGGCCCTTTGGAAGGAACCAGTGCTAGACGGCCCTCCCACCAACTATTGGATGCACTAAAGGGAAAACTGACCTGATGATGGGAGTGGGAGCGGCGACAACCTTCACTCCACCAGGGGCCAGTTGTAGGTCGCGCCGTGGAATTCCTGAGCCCTGTGCTGCGGCCACGAACGCCCAAACTCAGACAAGCAAAGACCAGACGTCACTGAGACTTGTCCAGGTGGAGATACGTGACAGGATGAAGGTTTTTTGCTCTTAAACTTCTGGGGTGGTAACATTTATAACCTCCGTATTCAGACATCGGAGCCTGCTGATTCTCGTTCACAGACAGGCATGTAAAGCGAGTAGACTGGCTACCGCAGCCGCCGGGCCGGGAGATGTGGTCCGGGCTGCCGGATTTTGTCCTGCGGGAGCCGCGGGCAGGAGCTTCCAGAGTTAAGAACCGGAACGTGCGCTTCCTTCTCCGGGCGGCAACCCTGCCCTGCTGGGAAGCACGTCCAGCCTCTAAAACGATGCCTTCGTTGGACACTTTGCAGAAAACAGCACCTAATGTCGGTGAAAGTGAATACAGATGCGTATTAAAGGGGCAGGTATTGATCTCAGAAGCCAACATCTTACAATCTCCAAATTTCTTAGTTGTGAGGGGATTTGGCAAATCAATTCCCAATTTGCCTACATTAGTACGCTATCTTATGATTTCACGTTTCCACCCTTAAGGGAGCGAAGAAATAAACTTCCATGGTGACTGAGCTGCTAACATGTCCTTCCTACACGTCAGGCAGCCTCTGCCTCCCGTCCAGGTTTGGAAACGGCTCCCTTTCAGGCCTGAATCGACGAGAACATCTGGGATCAGACCAAGCGGACAGAGATGTGTTCACGGACATCAGATGGGAGATGTCAGGGCAGACCTTCACCTCGGAGCTGGGAGGACGTTGGCAACGGCACCTGAGACCCTGACGTGGAGGCTCACTGGCCTCTGAGCCGGTGGGAATGAGAGAAGACGCTGCAGGTGGCCTTGCCCGCCGTGGAGGGTCGGCCCTGGGACCCCTCCTGAGCCCAGCGCTCAGCTCCCCCTGATCTGCAGCAGCACACACGTGGTTACCATGGGAACACCATTAATCACAGATTTGTCCTTAACTTTGATTTTGCAGTTTCTTTTCATATTGTGGAGCTATATTTTTTAAAATATGTTTTTATTGATTTGAGAGAGGAAGGGAGAGGGAGAGGGAGATAGAAGCATCAGTGATGAGAGAGAATCATGGATAGGCTGCCTCCTGCACACCCCACACTGGGGATCAAGCCAAAACCTGGGCGTGTGCCCCGAACAGAATCAAACCGTGACCTCCCGGGTCATAGGTCAACGCTCAACCACTGAGCCACGCCGGCCCGGCTATTTTTTTAACCTTGAAGTGCCCATGGCTCGGGGGTGACTGTGCCCCAGACCCACTGGATCTGACCCCTGACCTGAGGAAGCAGTTGCCTGGCCCACAGGCCACACAGTGAGCGGGTACGGGGCCTGAGCACTCCCACCCACGGAGGAGCCCAGCCTCCGACCTGGTTGTGATAGGAACGGCTACCTGACATTTATTAGCTCCATCGATGCATGAGACATCGTAGCAAACATCATTCTGAGCCCTGATCGATGAGATTCCCATCTTAATTAGCCATGAGACAGGCCACAAATAGGACGTGAGGTTACTCATTGACAGAGAGGACACAGCTCGGCAGCAAGGCTTTCTCCAGTCCTGTCCTCTGCCCGGCATGTCAGACGCCTGAGAGGATGAGGAAGTCGTGTAAACCCCAGGCTGGCCCTCCAAGGGAGGTCCGAGAGCTCCAAGCCCGGCCCAGCCTCTCCCCTGCCCTGGATCTCACTCCTCACTTCCCTCTCTACCTGCCCGCCCCGCACAGCCCCGGCCCCTTGCAGGATCATGGTCCACACCTGGTCGCCATCCACACCTGGGCTCCGGCTCAGCCTTACCAGACAGGCTCCTCTCAGAAGCGACCACGCTTGACGAACAGAATTCAAGTTAGAAAACAGAGAAAAAGCAACAAAGATGTCACGTGAAAAAAATGCGTAAACTGCAGGAAAATGAATTTGCGCTGTTTTAAGCCAAAATAATAGTAAATAGTGCAAACAAACTCACACAACAACGAAGGAATAAAACAAAGAAAAGGTTCTAGAATTTAAGGACCGGCATGCCCAGAGCAGAACAGCCCGTCCAGGTCACCACCCTTGGGGTTCCGGCCGCGTGGAGAGAACCCAGGGGTCGGGGGGGCGGGCGGGGGCGCTGTGTGGGGTGAGGCTGAGGTACGGCCGTCAAGTCTGTGTCTAAAGGTCATTTTGCTGAGCTGTGCAGACGGTGGGAGCTGTGGCCATGCACGAAGGGCCTGCCAGAGGTGGTGGCAGCGTGGAGGGCGGGTGTGCGGACAGGGGTCACGCCAGGGACATTCAGGAGGAAACCCGGTGAGGGGTGAGGCAGGAGGAGGAGGTGCTTCGGGGGGAGGGACAGTGACACTCACAGAAGCAGGGACGTGTTCGTGGAGGAAGCGTCGGGTCATCGAGGAGGCAGGAGCACGGCGCTCACGGGAAACGCCGAGTGCGAGGTGGCCGCCTGAAGCAGGGCTTCCCTTCGTCCCAGAGACGTGCCGGCTCTCGCGGCTCCTGGGGGCCCAGCTGTCCGGGTGGCGCCTGGACCCCGGGCCTGCGCAGTTGGAGTCGTGCTGGGTCCCGTGTCTCGTCCCGTGTCCCTCAGTCTGGGCCGCGCCCTGGCCCTGGAGTAGCGGCCTCGCGAGACGGCCAGTTCTCCTCGGGAGAGTGGGTGCTGACCGAGACGTTTGCTTCCGTACGAGCTTTGGAGCAACGGGAACAAAGTGTTTCTTCTAAGAGGCTGAGGTGCTTGCTGCCGGGTCCCTGTCCCGTCTCAGCGGCCGCCCGCGTGGGCCCCTCATGGGTTGGAAAGATGAGGCGCCTGTTTGTATTAGACGAGCTGATACAAGCTGATTCTGAGGTTAATTGGTATATATGCTCACAGACATCTGTTCTGCTCAATGTACTTTGAGATGTGACTTAATTACAAAACCCTACCAAAGCAAACGGTGTGTTTTTCACATGGGAGGATCCATTTACTGTGGATTCTCTCCAGTTTCAGGAGGTTCTGTTGTCCAAAAGTACAGTTTTGAGAGATGAGGTTAGCTGGACGGGAGTTGTTTGGGCTGGGATTTCATTCAGCGAGAGGCCTTAGACCAATCCCATTTTATTGGGCCAAATTACTTCTAGATAAATCTACGGACTCTCTCCAGTTCCTTGTCCTAAAATCCTGGAGCTCAGATACCGTTTTCCTTGGTCTCTGTCTCTCTCTGGTTTATTCAGTGTGAAGAAGCATGTTTGTCTCACACGTTCGCGAGGATGGGAGAAATCCGGGACATGTTAGGGTTTTAAGTGCAGGTTACAGAGGAGAAACTCCCGCTTCCCGAGATGCTGACCCTGTGGCGGCCGCAGGAGGAAGCTCCGGGCAGACCTGTGCCCCCTCGTGCTGGGGACCTCGTGTGACGATCCGTCATCTGACGTGCAGCTACCACCGAAGGGCAGCTGGGAGACTCACAGGACAAGTGACGAGGTTCCCAGTGTCCATGTGTCCAGTGGTTCCTTCGTTTACTCACCAACGAGCCCACCTCAGTGTGGACTGAACGACAGCCACGGAGCCCAGGGCCACGGCTCCAGCCACGAGCCACTGGGTTCCATTCCCGACGCCGTTCCCTTTCGTTCCAAACTGGGATACGCTCCGGGCTTCAGCCTCTGCATCCCGTTCCCAACGCCCCCTGTCCCCCCCCCCATCCCCCGCCATAAACTCCCCAAGAAAAATTCTTTCTCTGAAGACACTGGCTTGCTTTCAAGCGTATGAATATCAGCCAGAGGGTGCAGGCTAAGTTTAGACAACTAAAAATACAGTGAAAACGTGGTTTTTAAAATTATTATTTTTCTTTTCAAAGCCACTTTTGAAATGTACTTCACAGAGTGGTACAGTCAGATGGATACAATTTCATTGTTATCATGGAAATACGTTTGTTTGGGGCTTGGATCAAGTGAAGAACTTCTGAATGAATGTTTCTTTTTCTCTTAAAAGGTGAACGTGCAAATACTTATTTCAGCTACTTATTCTACATCTTAAAGACAGAAGGTGAAGTGGCAGGCACAGGGCTGGGGAGGGGGGAGTTAGCGTCGAATGGGGACAGAGTTTCCGTTTGGGGAGATGAGGCGTGCGGGGTGTGGGGTGCGGGGTGCACGGTGGTGATGGCTCCATAATGCAAATGAGCTTGATCCCACTGAACTGTGCGCTGAAAATGGCTACAATGGTGAGTTTTATGTTATGTGTACTTTACAATAAAAAACCACACCTGAAATCTATGACTCTATTGGAGAAATAAAGATTACAATTGTGAACTTCACCCATCATCTCTAACTTGCTTGTCATTTTCTCATAAAAATCATCTTTTCCCTTAAAAATGTGATCAATTTTTACCATACATTAAAAGACATATACACTCCTGGGAATGTAAATGTGGACTTACCTACAGACACCTGGCTTTCTTTTAAATATACTTTTTAATATGAACTAAAAATATAAATGAAGAATCTGAAAAATGGCAACTCTGGTCCCACTCTTCTACTTTCGTGGAGAAAATGTTGAATTTTGTGGCAGCTGAAGCCCGTGAGATAGGTGTCACCGACCATTGTTAAAATAAACTCACATTTTCTGAGTCTAAGCAGCAAGATTCTGAAGGACTTCATTAAGGATAATTTGGTAGTTTCATAAAATGGGCTTATAGGTGTGGGTTAGACAGCAAATTTCAATGAATTCTAGAACCGCAGGGTTTCGGCCCAGCTCCGTGGACCTGGATGATCCAGGCCTTACATCTTGCTACCAAGGTGTCTCATTGGCAGGTCGTAACCCTTTGAGTGCCAACCAATATCCTAGGAACTATGCTAAAATTGCCAAGGCATTTTTGCTGATTTTACAGCAGTTTAGGAAAAAAATGATGAATCTCAAGTAAATGAAGTTACATATTCAAAAACTTAAAGGAAACCTTTACTACATTGACATATTTAGCAATATCACCATCACTAATAAAAGCAGACTTAGAACCGGACGCCATTTCGAAGCTTTGATAGCGCTCCCGGCACTTTTGGCGAAAGACAGAGGAGCGCCATTGCACTCCCCGGCACTCAAGGGGTAAGCGCTGACCCTCAGTAAATAGTGCGGCCGGCCTGCCTCTTGTCTAGAGCGTCATCCTGAGGGCCACCATCAGCCAGACCTGCAGGAGGGAGCCTGTCCAGCAACGGCCTGTGAAGGGCTACAACTTCTTCCTGGAGTCCGTGTGAGGAGCCTTTCCGAAATGTATGGCTTACAATTGTGAGAGCGTTTTTTAAAGTATTATTTTCTTGTTTATAGAAGTCCAATTTTCTATTGTGCTATTTTTCATACTCCTTGGGAAAAAAGTAAAATAAGATTGAGTGCAGAAGTGAAGGGAGAATTTATAAGATTAGATGACCAGCGATATTTAGGAAGTAGTGTAAGACTTACAAGCCACCTGGACACGCTGGGCTCAGTGGGGGAGGTCTCTGTGCTTCTACAGTGGGAGGACAGAGCAGGGTGCAGCTGCTAAAACCCTCCTCCCCAGGGAAACCGTCCCGGCGGGCGGGATGGTTGCCGCAGAGGGAACCAGAGCCCCCTCGATTTCAGTTCCTGGATGCTGGATGCCTGTAAAGTGCTCTTTCTGAACGAAAAGGTAATTGCAGTTTAATTGCAACTCCAGGAAGTGCGTTTTCCCCTACAACTGGTTTCTCCTCTTTGCTAATAGAAACTCGGGCCACACCACCAGCTCCACCAATCTGGGCTGCGTTTGGGAAAAATCCCCCAAGTACCAGCCCCCGGAAGAAGCTTTTATTAAATCAGAATATAGAAGAAGAGAGAAGGCTTGAGAGAGCAGGAGAGGCAGGATAAGCAAGGAGTGGGAGTAAGAAATAGAACTATTTTTTTCATTCCTGGTCCAGACCCGGTTTCCTGGGAGGCGGCTCTGACACCAGGGCCCAGGGATAGGTCCAGCGTTGGGCTCGGTCCTGCTCACCAGACAATAAAAGGCCTTTCAAAGTGAGAGACAGGAAGCATCTATTTGAGATCAAAGAACAATACAACCATCATTTTTAAAAATATATTTTTATTGATCTCAGAGAGGACGGGAGAGGAAGATATAGAAACTTCAATGATGAGAATCATGGATCGGCTGCCTCCTGCACACCCCACACTGGGGATCGAGCCCATAACCCGGGCACGTGCCCTGACCAGGAATTGAACTATGACCTCCTGGTTCATAGGTCTACAGCCACGCCAGCTGGGCACAACCAGCATTGTTTTAGTGTAATTTCTTCTGTTCCTGTTTCTGCAGTGACATGGTTATATAACCATCTCTATAACATACCTGTATTTTTTATGCTTATAATTCAATGATAAGCACATCTCCATTTCCTCACCTTGGTCGAGAGTAAGAATCAGAATTCTTCTAGCGTTACTGGTCTGTTTCCCACAACTTATGTCACTTGCTGTCATGTGCCCACCGCCTGCCACACAGGAGGAGGGATACCCGGGGTGGATGCAGGGTCCCTGAGTTTCTGGCTGATTTAGCTTCTTGGAGGAAACACTCCACCTTGAGGAGCTCCCCCTTCTCCTCTTGGCCGGGGGGACGGGTCAGCGTGAGTCAGCGCTGATGTTGGTGCCTCCGGGGGGGTGTGCAGGGGTCCCCCCACAGGGAGGTCGCCATGCTCTGCACCCTCCTCCCTCACCCTCCTGCCCCCTCAGCCCCTGTGCGGCCTCCCTGGGAACCCCAGTCTGGTCCTTTCGAACCTCATGGACCACCAGTGGTCCACAGACCACTGGTTGGCGACCGCTAGTCTAGACAGTGAGGGGCATTCGTGCACATTCCCAGGTGCTCACCTAGGACACCTGCTTGGACCTGCTGCCCTGCTGGGCTGGGGGGGTCTCACAACAAGCTGCCCCACCTGGCTCTGCTCAGTCAGGCAGGTGGGGGGCACATCCTCTGGGAGCCCCACTCTCCTCTGGACATTTCTTTTTTATATCACGTGAGCAGCTCTTGAGCCCAGGAAGTCCTGAGATTGTGTAAGATAAAATGTTATTTCCATTTACCCACACCCAGCTCTGAAAGCTGAGGGCTCCTTTTCCATGCCCTGTGCTCTCCGATGGATGAGAAGACGGTTGCCAAGCTAGCTTTTCCTGATGTACGTTGAACAAAGAAAACCAGCGACCATCCCCCGAAATAGCCAAGAACAGCGGGAAGCAGGGCACCAAGTCCCACTCAGAGCCTTCTGGGGGCGGTGGATGTGGGGGACCAGCACAGAAGAGCTGCCGGTCGTCCCGGGTTGGTAGCTGGTTCCTAGGCCGACCTGCAGGCCTGAATCCGCACAGGCCACACGTGTGCTGAGGACAGTGGCAGCCTGCACTGGATTTGTGTGTTGTGTGTTCTATGTGCAACTTCCCAGCTGAGGGTGTGAGATCAGCCACCATGTCACGGTGACGGAGCCCTGTCTCTCCCTCCTCTTGGCCGAGTGACATCCCACATCTGAAACAATAGCAGGCCCTACACAGGTGCTGAGCTGGGCTGCCATGGAGACCGACATCTTCCTGTCCTCTGTTAGTAAGAAGCTCTCAGGGCTGCTGGTGATAAAAATGGATGTTTTAGTCAATGGCACGTCTTGACCTTCCAACAGAAGAAAATCCTTTTTTAGTCCCACGGATGCCTGAAGCCTCAATCACTTTCAGTTCCGAAATCAGTGGTGTTGGCTCCACGTCAAATCTGTTGTGGGATTACAATAGCTGCCAGCACTCGGGCACTTGGTCAAAAGAACAAGGCTCTAACATGCGTTTTTCTTTTACTCAAGCCATTAACACTGTGGAGCTCTGGCCGGACCAGGGGCAAGTTCTTTAAGCAGCGCCCTTTCGGACGAGACTGAGCCGGGACTGGTGTGTATTTCAGGAGGTCATGGAGCACCGCTCAGGTTAGTCCTGAGTGAGCAGGACACGGCTGGGACTACCAGCACCAGATGCTGCACCTGCGTGTAGCCATGCAGGCCACCTGTGGGATGGGGTCCCGCGTCTTCGGGGACATCGCTCGCTAGGGCTCTGTTTGCATCTGGGACCTGGTGTTTGGAAACCAGGTTGTTCCTCCAAAGTGGGTCATCAGACAGAACTCTCGTTCATCGTGGCGACTCCAGAAGGTTCTAAAAGTGACAGCATGTGGGTTTGGGTGTGGAAGGGCACCCACAGATAACATTTCCTGGGTAGCCATCCGTTTCACCCAAGTTTAGCTCCAACGTCCGTGTAAGACTGTGGCTGAGGGAAGAATGTATGTCAGTGATGGATTTGAAGGACAAATTAAGCTCTGAAAATATTAAATGCAGATTTTGCAAAAAACACAAACTCCATGAGCTTACGAAGTGCCGTGTGTTTGCGATGACAAAGCTTCGGATGAAACGCAGCTGCGTTTTTAAAACTGTCGCTGCCACATGGTCCCTCATGTAATGGACGGCAATCAAATTAGATGTCAAACTCAATTGCTTCCAAAGGAAATCGTTTTCTAATGACTGAAGCCATCTTTGGATGATACTGGAAATTAAATCTTTTCAATTTCTTGTGAGAGGTTTTTTTAAAAAAATAGAATTCTTGCTGAGTTTATGGAATCTTGCTTTTTTCCTTGACTTTTAAAAATTTTTCTTTTTTTAAAGTCTCCCAAGTTTTAGATGTGACAATGTGGGGAGGGCACCTGTTATCAAGTGACCCCGTTGGGTGGGCGGAGGTCTGGTCTGGGTGCGGGATGGCCTGTGACCCCGGGTCAGTCGGCAAGGGCGGCTGCAGCAGGAATACACCCCCTGGCGCTGGGTCAGCCGCCATCGGCACTCACAGGCCTGGGGCTGGAGTCCAAGATTGGGGTGTGGGTGGCCGGTGGACTGTGGGTCCCGGGCGTCCGGAGCTTCCCTCTGAGCACCAGCTGGTGGTCGCCGGTAGAACAGCCCGGAAGGAAGGTGCGGATCCCCCAGGACAGGCAGGACGTTCAGACGGAAGGAGCGCGGCTCCCCTGTGCAGAGGCAGGAGCCCCTTCTCTCCCCAAGACCCACGGGCACCGGCATCCTTTCCCCAGGCGGAGCCCTGGGGGTCATGGCCGTGTCCCTTCTGCCCAGTCATAGCCCACCTGACAGCGTGACCTGCAGTTCCGCCTGCAAAACGCCCATAAATATCACGCCAGTCCTCACGTCCCCGCCGTCGCCACGTTCCCGTGTCCTCACGTCCCCACGTCCTCACGTCCCTGCGTCCCCACGTCCTCACGTCCCCGCCGTCGCCACGTTCCCGCATCCTCACGTCCCCGCGTCCTCACGTCCCCACGTCCTCACGTCCCTGCGTCCTTACGTCTCCATCACGTCCCCGCCGTCGCCACGTTCCCGCATCCTCACGTCCCCGCGTCCTCACGTCCCCACGTCCTCACGTCCCTGCGTCCCCACGTCCTCACGTCCCCGCCGTCGCCACGTCCCCGCGTCCTCACGTCCCCGCGTCCTCACGTCCTCACGTCCCCACGTCCCCGCCGTCCTCACGTCCACCCACGCTGGCCTCCCACCGCTGGTCATGCCTGGGGAACCACGTAACGTCACAGTCTCTTTCCGCCCTTGAACTTTCCAGTGAAATCTCCGCAGTGAAGTTCAGTTGGTGGGACCTTAGCCACCGCCTCCTCTGCACAGTCAGCGACGCCCCCTCACGGGGAACGGGGTTCACTTCTCTCCCCGGAGGACCCCCGAGTGGCTCTCCGGCCCCGCCCTGGGCGGTGTCAGGCCCCGGGCCTCCAGGAGTCTCTGGAAAGTTCCGCGTGCTCCCTGGTTACCCTGACATGTAAGTCCTCTTATCATATCGTTAAATCTATTGATCTCTCATTTCCTGCTTTTCTCTTTTTTTGCACGCTAAGTTTAGAACAAATTCAAGTTCAGAGATATATTTCCTTTTAGGTTTTATTTTATTCATTTTTTACTCTTTAGCTTTTTAATAATCTGGCTTTCATTCCTATGGTGGTGTGAATGGCGACCTAAATAGGTTTTCCTGCCACAATATTTATAAAAACAGCCGAACGTGGGGAGAGCAGAGCCCGGAGGCCCTGGTGTGAGACCAGGCAGCCCGCCCGCGGTCCTTATTGTAAACAGGGACCCGCTGTTTTACCTTCAAACACGGGGTCTTCACTCCTGTCTCCCCTAGTGTAGTTGCTGCGCTTATTGCTACAGGTGATATTTAGAGACCCAGAATGTAGACAGTCGGTAGAAACCGTAACTGGGCACAGTCCTTCCAGGGTCCCACGTGGCGGATGAAGAAATACTGTCAGGATGTTGTGTTAGGGCCCGGCGGCCTGGCTCAGCGGCTGAGCGTCGACCTAGGAACCAGGAGGTCAGGGTTCGATTCCAGTCAAGGGCACAGGCCCGGGTTGCGGGCTGGATCCCCAGTGTGGGGCGTGCAGGAGGCAGCCGATCCGTGATTCTCTCTCGTTGATGTTTCTCTCTCTCCCTCTCCCTTCTTCTCTGAAATCAATAAAAGTATATATTTTTTAAAAAGATGTAGTATAACAGCACATGCGACAAGGGCAGATGGACCAGTAAAACCAAAATGCATCTTGGTTTGAAACTAAACACAAACCAGCGAGGCCCAGAGCCTCTGAGATGTTGATCGTAACTAGCAGGTCGAAATGCATGCATACAGGCAGGTGCACCTGACGGAGGGGCTCGGGCGAGCGGCCCGTCCGCCTTCCCCTGGGGACATGCAGCCGTGAGGAGGCGCCGATCCCGGCTGAAACATTAACCTGTCTCATCAGCGCTTTTCAAATATCCTCGGGAATCCAGGCGTGATCGGCAATGGTGCTGCTTTGGGGAACAGTCGGTGCCTCAGAACTTGGAACTGTGTCCCTGGGACGAGCTTGCTCCTGCGGCAGCATCTGCTCTTCGTGGGGCCTCGCCTCTGCCTGGCGAGCGGCTCTTCCGAACCCCGTTCCCTCTAGGGCCCGACGCCAGCGGGTTTTACACCCTGAGGGAGCGCTTCAGTGGAACTGCTTATTTCCTTTTTTGAAAATTAGCTGTTATCTTTTTAAAATATATTTTTATTGACTTCAGAGAGGAGGGGAGAGAGAGAAACATCAATGATGAGAGAGAACCATGGATCAGCTGCGTCCTGCACGCCACACACTGGGGATCGAGCCCACAACCCGGGCATGTGCCCTGCCCGGGAATCGGACCGTGACCTGGTTCATAGGTCAACACTCAACCACTGAGCCACACTGGCCAGACTAGATGTTATTTTTATAGCAGTTTTAGATTTATGTCAAGCTCACCACCCTTTCCTCTACCCCCACCCACCACACAGTTCCCTGTTATCAACAGCCAGCCGTAGGGCCCATTTCTTCAATTATTGAACCAAACCCCCTAGCTGATAGCGACTTCGTTGCTTGGCGGGAACATTCAATAGGGATGAGACAGAAGGGCTCCTATTTAGTGTCTCTTGCCCGGCCAGGCCTGCCTCCCGACCCAGGTCCAGTATCTGCAGGAACCATGAAGCTCCTCGCAGGGCGTTGCCCGCACTGGTTTTCCAGGGCGGGGGGGGTGGGGGGGGTGGTCCTGCGACCTTCCTGGTCACCTCAGCGAGGCCTGCGGTGTGCAGAGCGAGGGCTGGGCGGCATTCACACGTCCTCGTGGCGTAAGTGTCCCCCACCTACCCTCTCAGTTTTCACTTGAAATTTTTAAAATTGATTTTAGAGAGAAAAGGAGTGGGAGAGAGCGAGAAATATCCATTGATTGCCTCCCGCACGCACCCTAACCAGAGACCGAACCCAAAACCCGGGTATGTGCCCTGACTGGGAATGGAACCCGTGACCGTTTGGTGCACAGGATGATGCTCCCACCCACTGACCCACACCAGCCAGGGCTTCACGCAAATCTCAGTTCCGCTCAGCCAAGACATGGGAAGCCGCACATGGGTGTCGGGTGTCGGGTACCGGGAGGACAGACACCCCTGAGCCGCCAGGTGCTCCTGGGCGGCCATGCGGGGACTGAGGCCCGGCCTGCGGGGGCACGCTGCGAGTGACCGTGTCCAGGGAGGTGGAGAAGGAAACGTGAGCACGAGGTGGGTTACTGTGAACCAGGACTCAGTGCAGAGAATGACCTGGCGTCAGGGAACAGGACGGCGTCACGGAGCAAAGTGTTCCAAGCAGCATGCACAGGCCTAACGAGCACCCAGCAGCCCAGGAGATGGTGGTCCCTGCGTCAGCCCGAGACCCGCGATGAGGCCGCGGGGTAAACAGGAAGCTGGAATGCCCGGGGCTGGCACAGTCACCAGAGTGGCATCATTTCCCCCGTTTTAGTTTTTAATGTCGGAGGCAGAGTCGCTGTAATGACCGCATCGGGCCATGGGAGAGGGAACATTGTGTTTCCCCGTGGATTCCGTGTCACATGTTCCCAGGTTAACTCTGCAACCTCCTGGGTGAGCCATCGGGTAATGAATTCTAGGAAAAAGCGAAGTTCAGTATTCCAGGCGGATTAGCTCTGAGTGGTGCGCCTCTGCCTTTTGTCAGTCACCTCGGCTTGTTTTCCTTCCTCCGGCCCCGGTGGAAACAGCATTGCTCCCTCCCTACGATTCTCTCCAAAAGCTACACCCTCTGGGCCGCAGGTGACCACTGAGAGTTCACAAAATAAAAACGGAGGAAGCTTCACGACTTGGTTACAGAAGCACATCTTTCATGAGAAATCCTGAAAATTGTAAGGGAAATGGCTAAATTCAACGACATCAAGGTTAAAAACGACTGAACCTCGTAAAGCACGTACAGAAAATGAAAATGTGAACCATGAGATCATGTGATGTGTGTGTGTGATGTATATGATGTGTGTTTGTGTGTGTGTGTGATGTGTGTTTGTGTGTGCATGCTTGTATGTGTGTTTGTGCCCCCACGACCCCGCGGCACCGCAGTGGGTCCTCTGTTAGCCGTCCCGTCTCTCCCACACAGAACCATCCTCAGTTCATACTCAGGCAACAATCACTGATAATGATTAGTTTTTTTATTTGTTCTCTTGTTTTAAAGCAGCCACCAATGCTTGAACAGGATAAATGTCAATTTTGAAGAAACTATTCCATTTCAGTAAGAGCTTTATTGCATGACAGAATTTGCCCTTTTCAAACAAAAATATTACACCATGCAGTTCATACTGTTGTATCATTTCAAATCTTGTTTTTTCACCATTTTAAATTTTAAGCACAAAACCTGCAAGTGAGTGTTCCGCATAGACCCACGTTCTCTGCTGTTGTTGTGTTTGCGATCACTGTGGCCGGGTTTACGCTGACTCTATTGTTTGAAAGCTGGGACCCGTCATGGCTGGAAGGTCGAATGAGTGAGTCTTTACGAATTAAATGCCAAGAGAGGAACTTGTCTAATTGCATTCTCATGTGACAGGAGCCAACTCCACACGCTCTCAGAATTAACGTGCATGTGGAATAGAATTTTATGAGAGAATGCATAATAAAGACGCTAATTTGAAGTTTACATGTATTATTAAAACTCAATAGCAGCCTCAGCAATTATTTAGAACTCAGTCTAACAACACTGTTTTGGAGAGGAGCATTTTATTCTTGGCTTCGTTTGAAATTCCAGTAACAGCGCTTAGAGCAGCCTGCTTGTCCTGGTTTGATTATTGTTTTATAGTTACGTGCAGAGCGGCACCCGTCATGGGCCATAAGTCTCGGGGGAGCCGGATACTCGGGGTTACCTGTGAGGGGGCACCTGGAGCTGCAGATAATTAACTTAGAGTATGGTCCCAGGATTGGAAACGTGGGTCAAAGTGTGCAGACACGGCCAGCATGGCTCAGGGGTTGAGCGTGGACCTATGAACCAGGAAGTCACGGTTGGATTCCTGGTCAGGGCACATTCCCCGGGTTGCAGGCTTGATCCCCAGTAGTGGGTGTGCAGGAGGCAGCCCATCCATGATTCTCTCTCATCATGGATGTTTCTGTCTCTCTCTCCCTTCTTCTCTGAAATCAACAAAAATATATTTTTTAAAAATAGTGTGCAGACATTTGTACATAAATTCACAGAACTAAAGTGCTTTTCAAAGTGTAGTGTCTCTCTGTAAAGCAACGCACCTTCCCCAGCAGATTTGAATTTTGCTTATTAATTTATGTTTTGATTTCTGGTTCATACGTCTCCCCTCACAGTGATGAACACAGTGCAGAGTTTCTCCCTGGGCCGAGAGATTTAGACCTGATAACGTTTTCCCCAGAGAAGACCAGGGTGGAGGGGGCTGTGTGGCACCCGGTCACTCAACGTTTCTCGGGAAGGATTTCAGAGCGCGGCCTTGCCTGAGGCACAGCCTACTCCGGGCCTGTCGCTGCCGTTCTCCCTCTGAGGTTCTTGTTCCGCGGGAAAGAGCAGTTCATTCTGCTAATGCGTCTCCTCTGGGCCTGACCGACGTTGCTCTGCGATTTCCTCCCATGGTCCTTTCCGACCACTTAACAGTTCATGTTGGCAATTAGCAAATTCTCGTTACTTGGTGCTAATTTTAAACATTCCTTCTATTTTTGTAAGAACCCTTTTTGGTAAATAAAATAACCACAATTTTTTCTAAATGTT